ACCTTCTTTCCACTGCTTATTAACAAAAAAAGCTATATATGGTCTGTGTTAATGACTTCTTGGACTAACCTTCAGTATTCCTTTCTCAAAGCAGGAGCCATCAGACTCTGAGTCATTGCTGATGACATTCAAAGTGTAGGGTCTGTTGGACACTCTTGGGTGTGGGTTGGGTGCTCCTGGGAGTACACAAGGCTGCAGCTCTAAGATATCAAACTGACCAGAATAATTCAGTTGAGGATTAAATCCAGCTTGGTTTAAGACAGGCTTTGTTTGCAGGAGTCCTCTACCAAGTACTTAATGTCACTCTAGCACCTTCTCCCACTTAGCTTTGGAGACTGTGCGGTAGGAAAAATCAATTGCAGAAAGTTGTTTTGAGAGCAGAAGTGAGGCAGGTCCTGCAGACCTTGGCTGCAAGAGTCTCTGTCTCACATGGTGTGTTAATGTGGGGACAGAAATGTTCCTTTTTGGTTTTGTAAGTGAAGAAACCACATTCCTAATGAACCACTGTTCCTCAACTCAGTTGAAACAACATGAGCTTCTGGTGGGTTTTTTTCTGGTTGAAGCTCAGGTTGTGTTTTGAGGTTGTGTCAAGAGTCAAAATTAAGTCCCAAGTTTTTCAAGATTACAGGAAGGCAGATCTGGCTGCTCATAATGCTAGTTCCCAAGATGAGTGTGGCACCAAGGCAGAGCTTTGTGTGACTTCATGTCTTGGTTTAAACAGACAGGTGTCTGTTAAGGAAGGGAGGAGCATCCTGTGAAATGAAAAATGTAAACCCCTTCCGTCCAAATTGTTATAATTTTGAAATTAAGGGGCTCTCAGGCAAAGGTATTGGAGTAGGAATTGCAGTTCTTTATTAGGAAAGAAATATATTAAAAAATAAATATAGAAATAAAAATGCAGTAATACAGAACAACACTGCCAGAGTCAGAGCAGCCCTGGCAGCCTGTGGGGCAGGGAGGTGGCAGCAGCCCCATCCCAGGGTGGCTCAGCCCTCCTGCAGTGCCAGCTGTGCTTCTGCTGGAGCAGGATCCTGCACAAGGGGGGAGTTCTCCTCTGGAGCTCCAGGGCTGGGGGAGATGGGCCTGGGCTCCTCTGGGAATGCAGTGGGAAGAAAGCTGCTCCTCTGGGAATGCAGTGGGGAAGAAAGCTGCTCCTCTGGGAATGCAGTGGGGAAGAAAGCTGCTCCTCTGGGAATACAGGGGGTAAAGGCTGCTGTGCTGTTCCCAGGTCAGATTGTATCCAGGTAGGAATGCTCGGCTCCTCCCCTGGGCGCAGCATCTCCCCATGGGATGATGGAATTTTCTCAGCCATGCAGGGACACTCAGTGGCCATGAACAGCAGAGATCTCCTGGAGGGAGGATTGGCTGTGGGAGAGATAAAGAAAAGTGCCCAAAGAGCAGCAGAGCCCTGCCCCAGCTCTGACAGGTGGCAGTAGAATACACACCCTCAACTACATCTTGCAACCTAAGACACTTCATTTATGGAATGAGGGAAGTGGAATGAGCAGCACAAAATTGATGGCATTTATAAACACTGACTTTATCCCCTCTTTTCACCTGCTGCTGCTGCACTAAGGCAGCTCTTGCAATGCCACTACTTTGTTCTCTGCAGAGGGTTTTGGAATAAAGAGCCCTTCATGGGAGAGTACCTGTCCCGCAAAAGAGATGGGAAAGGAGACCAGTGGGGGTGGGCAGAGGAATCGTATTGCCCAACAACCTCATTTTGATAATTTAAGTCTTGATCTTGGGGTTGTTTCTTGTTGCCAAGACATTGATGTAGTGTTTGGAGGTGATTGCTGTGTGTTGTGTAATATATTGAATTCTTGTTAATGACAGAATTTAGTCTTTTGAAGGTTTGGGCACACTATGTGTTTTCTAGCATTACTTCTGCTTTTGGTCAAAACCTCTTTTATTTGTCTGTCATTTGGGGTTGGTCAGGTAGGCTGGTCAGGATGTTCTGATCAGATCAATGGCAGTCAGAAAATCCACTGAAAACCACAAATCCCTAGGTAATGTCAATCCTTTTCATTGCCAGGGTGTTGTGAACAGCTTCTGAACATTTTTAACTTTTATCTTAAGGCAAAGCAGTTTGGTAAGGCAGTGGTGGGTACTGTAAAATAAGGATCTCTTGTTTTCTGCTTTATAATACTTTTTATCTAAGTGCTTTGCCAGCTGTGAGATTGAGCATCAGTTGATCTGGGAGTGCTCTCTGGTGAGTGTGGTTTGCTACAAAGCAACATAATCTCCTTTTGCATCCCTAGACAGTCATACCGAGCCTGTGAGCTTCTGTGGATCCTTGTTTGGGGATAACCTAATAACAGTGTCAACAATTCCGTTGCCATGCTGGAAAACAACAGGTCTGGGAAGTATTAACCAGCTGGGATTCCTAGCATTTCATGTGGTTGTAGGCAGTTACTGTGCACTACAACTTCATGGTTTTAGCAATTTTTATTTAATAGTAACTGGCAGCTGACATAAGTTTAGCACTCCTTGAGTTTTCTGCAGAATAGTAGTCTGATATGGGATGGGAATAGTGGAATATTCAACAGAAAGAGGCAGCAGCATGAAAAAAAAATCCACTCTGACAACACAGGGCAGCTGAATCATACAAATAGATCCTGATCCAAAACAGCAGAGTCTTGAAAAAATGCAAGCAAACCAATTTCTACAAAACCATTTTTTGAGAAAAATAAATTCTTTTGGCCACTGGTGTCAAACATGAAATTAAGCCTGTTATTAATTTATCCCCAGTCTGAATTACTGTGTGTCACTTCATTGCAATGCTTCAGCTGTATCTTCAGAGGCAGAAAGATTTGTATTTCAAGAATGACGCTTTAGTTGCATTCATGTCTGGGTCAGTTTGTTTCTTCTGGGGCATTGCATCCTCTTCCTGTATTTAACTTACTCTGTGTTCGGCTGCTTTGTGCTTGATTTAGGCCTCACTGGTTTGGGGCTATGTCCCTGGAAATGAGTAGCTGGCAGTCCAGGTATCTGTCAGGTTGCCAGGGTCTCAAGGTGAGCTTGGAACTCTGTAAATCTGAACCCTAAACATAGGTGTGCTTTGGCATTTGCAATTTAAAACAAATCTTGATAAGATCAGAATTTGTGACAAATGCTGAAATTGCTATGGGGGAGTTTTACATAGATAACTTTATTTAGAAACAAATACCTTCCCATTAGTTTATCTTTTTAATAATATTAAGTGGAATAGGAAGGCAAGGCAAAAAGTGTTTCTGATCAGTTGATCTTATCAGGATTTCATTCCGTCTTTCCAGCTTGCATGTTTGCTGCTGCACTTGGCTCTACTGGTGATGAGAATATGTGTGGCACAGGCTTCATTCCAGCTTTCCCTTCCTTTTTGCATCTATCATACAAGATGCTTCCAAAATGCAAATGATTTTATCTGTCTGTGAAAGGGAACTGGGAGGTTGTTTTGACTGTATACAGATTTTTGCCTTTTAAATATATCAGTGTTTTTGTAGTTGCTTATTCTTCTTTCTTTTATCTGTGATTCTCCTGTTGGCTGAGTAGTGCTCCAACTCTTAGATAAGGAAATCTCACTCCTAAGGCATGTTCCATTAAACCCCAGAAGATGAGCTGTGTCTTCTCAAGGTCCCATGAATAATTTGCAAGGCTTAGCAGCTATAATTAAGGGAACGTCAGCATATTGGCAGTATATAAACTCAAGTTTTAAACCAACAAGACATGGCTGTCCACAGCTGACAACCCATTCATGTTCTATTTTGTGGAATATTGCAGTGTAGAGTCTTGCGTTAGGAAATGAGGGTGGGATCTGGGTATGGTATTATGGAATATCCTGAGTGGGAAGGGACTTGCAGGGATCATCCAGCCCAGCCCCTGGCCCTGCCCAGATCCCCCAGCAACCCCACCCTGGGCATCCCTGGGGCTCTGGCAGCCTCGGGGCCGTGCCCATTCCCTGGGCAGCCTGGGCAGTGCCAGCACCTCTGGGGGAAGAACCTTTCCCTGAGCTCCAGCCTGCCCTGCCCTGGCCCAGCTCCAGCCGTGCCCTGGTGCTGTCCCTGTCCCAGGGCAGGGATGGGAGCTGCCCCTCGGGAGGAAACTGCAAACTGCCTTGAGGTCTCCAAGTTTCTCCATGTTTGGAGAAACATGTGGAAGTGGGTTTGGATCAGAAATAGCCGTTCCCTGTGGGCACAGTCTGACCTGCCCATCTCAGTGCTGATTGTTTCTCCCTCCAGTCCTATTAAATGCATTTTGCTGAGCAATATCCCAACAACTTAAGCACAAGAGGCTGGAAATTCTAATAAATAGAACGCTTACAGCTAACCTGGCTGCAACATAAAGAAGCAGAGAACTGAAAAATACCATGAGAAAGGGGGGAAGAGTAATTTATTGAAATTATACTTTAAAAAAGAGCTCCTGCTCTTATCCTACCATTGAGCTGTGCTGTGAGAGGAGGTCAGTCAAAGTGAAAGTCTCTGGGGTATAAAAAATGAATCATACCAGATAACTCAGAGGCTTCAGGCCTCACATTTTAAACACAAATTACAGTTTTTTGGTTGCCCAGGGAATCTTGTTAGAAAGTGAGGCAACAGTTTCAAGGAGTTAAAAGCAGAATCAGGGGATGGTTTTGGTGGGTTTTGTTGCCCACGGAAGTTTTGGATGTGCACAAGTCTTCTCGATACACTGATTGATACACTGAAATTATTCCAAACTGAACAAAAAGCATTTAGCGATGGCGCTTCCTCTAGGTGCAGAGAGTTGTTTTCTTATTACTTCTTTAGAATTTAGGAGAGTGGATTATTAATGTACCAGGAAGGCTGTGTCAGTAAATGCACTGAGTACAGCACAGAGGTTTTCCAGTGTCCAGCCGCACTATTGCATGTGTTACTGGAGATGTGATATATGATAAGAACCTGATGTTTTGCCTTGATGCCTTCTGACCTCCTGCTCTCCTTAACTCCCTGCTCTCTTTCTCTCTCTCTCTCTCTGGCCTTTTTTGTCTATCCATTTCTTTTTAGAAAATGAGTGACTTTCTCTCCCAAGAGGATGTGGCTGCAGTGGCAGAGTGGAGCAGTTTTAACACTGGCTTTGCATGGGAGGGCTCAAGGCAGTCGGTAGTTTTTAGTGAGACTCCAGTGCCACCCGCCTCACAGCCTTCTGCCAGCTGGCACTTTGGTGCTTCCTCCCTAAGCAGCGAGGAGGAGGAGGAGGAGGAGAAAGAGGAGGAGGAGGAGGAGGAGGCGGTTCCCAGCCGATCCGCCAGCGAGGAGGACCTGACATGTGGAAAGGGGGTTTGTGTGGATGTGGAGAAGGACTCGGAGCTCTCTGAGCTGGAGCCCCCACCCAGCCTTGCCACACTTCCCTGGCAGCTCTGGGGAGGAGAGGAGGAGGAGGTGGCAGAGGATGGTGAAGACAGCTTTGCCTTTTAGAAAGCCACATGGCGAATGTCCCAACCCAGATGCTCCTAACAGGCTTGCTGGAGCTCATTCTCTGCTTCCAGGTAGTGAGCCCAGCTCCTGCACCCCACACCCCAGCTTCCTTTGGAGTGGGAACCCAAACACTGCAGCAAGCAGATGCCACAGACCCGCATAGGAGTTGGGTTTGCTTGGCTTGGACTTGTGCTTGGAGCTAATGAGCTGGTGAATCTTCCACAGTCAGTGCAATAAGCCCCTCTCAATTTATCTTTGAATTAAATATGAGCCACTGTCAATTTTGTCTTTGCATTAATACAAGTCCCTCTCAATTTATCTTTGCATGAAGTACAGTTGCCACAGTGCAATGCCCTTTGCTCTTCTTGGATTGAAGCATCCTGTGGCATTCCATGAAAATGCAATATTTAGGCTCAAAATAATGTCATTTTAGCTCCTTAAGGAGTTTGCTGGCTCCAGGTGGACTGGCAGCTGACTCTCAGCACAGCAGAGCAAATTTGAGATGCTGTCCAGTGTGTCCCTTTATGTTTCCTCACTGTGGGAGGGATTTTTGCCTGCTCCAGTGTGATGTTGCTTTTGGTTCAATAGATGCCTGTTTTCCCCCTGATGATTGCAGTGGCATCTGGCAGGGTTGGGGATGGTGGCAGAAATCGAGCTCTCTGGGAAAGCAGTGGCTCTGAACTCACTCTGTCCTTTTTCTGGATAATCATCAGGTGTTGGAACAACTGATTTCTCTCCACCCTTATTTTTCTTCCTGTTTTATCTGACATGATTTAATAAAAGTTAAGATTTGATGAGGATTTTTCATAACACAGGATACTCTTGAGGTCAGGATAAAGCTACTCAACTGTGATAAAGTCTTTGTGTGCCCATGGTTGGTGTTAATCCTGACACTGGCATCAGCAGATGAGGGTCATCTTCTCCTGGCAACTGGCAATGAGCTTCTGGTAATTAGAAAGTTAAGAATCAGTGGAGACAGTGTCTGTGGTGTTGTGACACACCTGTTAAACCCTTAATGCCTGGTTTGGGCTGACCAGAGTCCACAGTGTGGGGAGGGGCTGGAGGATTTTGCTGCCTGTCTAATCCTCATGCCTGATTGCTGCCCTCGGAGCAGTGTGTTGTTCCAGAGACTTAAACCCAAAGATTTCCAGGCTGACCTTGGTTCCCACAGTACTTTTATCAGATCAGTGTCAGAGCACTTGCCAGCAGCCCAGTCAGGATGTGGAGATGGGAACTGGCTGTTTACAAGATGTTTTTAACCCTGTCTCACAGCCCCCGCTAGTGAAGACACAGACTGTCACCATCTCTGATGTGTCCAGCGCTGTCAAAAGTGAAATTCCCACAAAGGAAGTCCCTATTGTCCACACAGAGACAAAGACCATCACCTATGAAGCTGCACAGGTAAGGTGTGTCCTGATAAATTTCCCAGGGGCTTAATTAAACCCAAGTAAACATTTTGTTTCCGAATCCTCAGGATGAGACAGCAGCACCTGCCTGTCTGCATGTCTGGGTGCAGCACAGGCATTAACTGATGCTGTGGACATTATTTCCAGGTGTATCTGGTATTTTTAGAGGAGCAGTGGTTTTGCTATCCCTGAAGAGTAATTATTTTTTCAAGATGTGCTTGCAAACAGAATTTATCTTCAGCCACTCGTGGCTTCAGGATGTGGCTCTTTCTGTACAGAGTTAACCTGAGTTGGCCTTTTTTTCTGCAATAAATGACTTGTTTCGTTTTCCCAGATCACCCAAAGAAGCTGGTTTTGCCTCTTCAGAACTTGGTTTATAAATTATTTGGTCATCCTTAGGTTTCAAGACTGAAATGGTTGTTAAACACCAAATGTTTTCTATAAAATGAAACCTCAGTGGGTGTGTGTTGACTGGAAAGTAAAAATCTTAGTGGAGCAATGTTATGAAGCAGAGGATATGCAGATATGGATTCAATGCTGTTTTAGAAGGTTTTAATCACAAAATGGCAGGATGGTTTGAGATGGAAGGAACCTAAGAGTTCACCCAGTTCTAGCCCCCTGCTGTGGGCAGGGACACCTTCCACTATCCCAGACTGCTCCAAGCCCTGTCCAGCCGTGGACACTTCCAGAGATCCAGGGGCAGCCACAGCTTCTCTGGACAACCTATGCCAGGGCCTTCCCACCCTCCCAGGGAGCAATTCCTTCCCAATTTCCCATCCAGCCCTGCCCTCTGGCAGTGGGAGCCATTCCCTGTGTCCTGTCCCTCCATCCCTCTCCAGCTCTTCTGGAGCCTCTTTAGGCCCTGAAAGGGCTCTGAGCTCTCCCTGGAGCCTTCTCCTCTTCAGGCTGAACACCCCCATCCCTCCCAGCCATTCTTCATGTATTTGAAATTTTGGAGCCTGTGTCAGCTTGGCTTTGCCATCACTGTGGTTGTCAGCAGCAGCCTGTGCTCTGCTGTTACGGTGAAGTGACTGCAGGAATCTCATGATTGTATAATTTGGGATTCCTGAGAAATGCTGTGGCTGTCCTGCATCCTCCCAGCTGCAGCACCAGAGGGATCATTCAGACAACGGTGGTGAGCATTGCCCTGGCTTTCAGCAAGTGTGTAGGTGGATGGAGGAGTTTTGCTCTAACTGGAAAATGGAAAGGAAAAGTGATCTCTCCAGGGCTGGGATCAGTCAGCCATGTGTGCACAGGATGTGATGTGCCATGAGATCTCTTCCAAACTGTGGAAAATGGTCCCACCTTGTGGTAATTCCAGATATTGTCCCAGTGCTGAGCAAGGACGCTGCCCAGTGGGGACATGGACAGCACAGTCACGATGAGCTGGCCAGGATAACTTAGTTTGGGATTTTTGGACAACCTTGAGTGGTTAAGTCAGACAGGGTGAAATCCAAGAACCAGCTCTAAAAGTTATTCCTGTTTCAGCAAATGTCTGGACATTCTTTGCTTCTGCAGAGCAGGAAGTGAGGGATGTGCAAGGTGTTGTCAGGAAGGAGGAAGGGTGACAATTACCTTCTGAATAAGATTGTGCTCTTGGCTTTGTTGATCTCTATGGATGGAGGCAGGTGGAGTTTGGGATTGGTGTCTGTGTTGGTCTCCTGTCATGGTTCAGGCATGGATGGTATGACTAGTGCTGCTGGGCCAGCAGCATGCTCAGATTTGGGTACATCCCCGTGCCCCGGGTCTGAGGGGTGTCACAGGTCCTCCCTGAAGGATCTCTGCTTTTCCAGCCTTAAAGCATAGGGACTTTGAGCTTTCAGAGACCTCCCCAGCTCATGTGCACCTAGGCACAGGTTGACTTGTGTCTTATACACGATGGAGCTGCTGTCCTCAGATTGTCCTCTGTCTGGCTCTGGTCATGTGGAGCCTTTGCTTCTGTCCCCACTGCTCAGGGACTGATGGTCTGTTCTTGTGTCCCACAGACAGATGGTGGCAATGGGGATTTAGACCCTGGCATCCTGCTGACTGCCCAGACCATCACTTCAGAAACCACCAGCAGCACCACCACCACCCAGATCACCAAGGTAACACCAGGGAGCCCCACAAAACACCAGTTTAACCAACAGCCTGAGGGAGAGATGGACAGGGATGAATGAGAGGAGAAAAAAGGTTTTGGAAGGTCCTTTCAAATACATGATTAGTACCTGGAGCAACGCACGAAGAGTTCAGTTCTGCCTGTGTTAAATCTGTGGATTGTGCATTAATTGCAGCACAGTCTGGACATGGACTCTGACTGTCCTGTGGGACAGCAGGAAGAGCTGTAGTGTGAGGAGAAGCTCTTCCCTGGTTCAGCTGTAAAAAATAACTCTATGACAGCTTTTCCTTGAGCAGCAGCAGCTTCCCCTGTGACTCTAATGCTGGGTACAACGGCACTATTTGATGACACTATTTTTGGATACCGTCTTTAGGCAGGCAGCCCCAGTGAGCTCTAATGTCTCTGCACTTTTATACTAAGAGCAGCTTTTCCTTCTGTTTTAGACTGTGAAAGGTGGTATTTCAGAGACACGGATTGAGAAGAGGATTGTCATCACAGGAGATGCAGATGTAGACCATGACCAGGTAGGAGCACGGATAAGATCCAGAAGAGTTTCCCAGAGATGGCAAAAATCAGTCAGGCTGCCTGTTCAAAGACATTGTGACCAAAAAATGAACCAGGGAAATTTTACTGGGGTAAAGATAAAAGTTCATATTTTTGTAAATTGTGGCTGCTCCATCCCTGTAAATGTTTAAGGCCAGGTTGGACAGGGCTTAAAGCAACCTGGTCTAGTGTAAGGTGTCCCTGCCCATCGCAGGGGATGGAATAGGATGAGGGTTTAGATCCATTTCCAATCAAGCTATTCCATGTCAATAATAAATTCCTTTTTGACATTAAGCAGCTGAGCCAGGAAAGCTAAATTCTATGATGAACAGCAAAGTTTTGATTCCAGAATTGTTTTGGACAGTTGTAGGCTTTTTCAAAAAATCCATAAAAATGTGAAATAAAAGTTTTGCTTGACATCTGGCTGATCTGCATTCCATTTCCCATGACTTTGAAGCACTATTGCTATTCTGTAGTGCCAGAAGTCGTTTCAGAGCACTTAGCACCTGTGTTACATCTCTTTGGCTTTATATGAAACCTTTTTGATGACTCAGCCTCATTGGCCTCTTGCATGTGTTGGAAGTGATGATTTTGTCATCAGAGAATTATACTTTCAATTTAAATTTAGTCACAAGTATCATGGGGGTGGAAAATATTCTTATGACAAGATCTAGTTTATTAACTCCAACAGAAAATGTCTGAGATGTGCCTATCACACTTGCCGGAAGAATAAGCAGGTTATGCTTAATTGCTTTCATCCATCTTCTGCCATGGGGCAGTGGAGAGATGGGGGTATTCTTCAAATAGTGCTTTTCCTTTCAGAGATAATATAATAGCAATAAAAGTCACCAAAGTATGTGGCTGAAATCCTGGGGGCAGCATTTGGTACCACAATTTAAGACCTAAAACAATTAGAGAGATTCAAAAGGAAGCTCTGAAGATGGGGAAGGATCAGGAAGGGCCATAGAGGGGGTGGCTGAGGGCACTCGGTGTCTTCAGCTGGAGCAGAGGACACTGAGGGCAGAGCTCTGTGGGGTCTGCAGCTCCTCCTGAGGGGCAGGTCTGATCTCTGCTCCCTATGGTAGATGAGGTTTAGGCTGGAGCTCAGGGAAAGGTTCTTCCCCCAGAGGTGCTGGCACTGCCCAGGCTGCCCAGGGAATGGGCACGGCCCCGAGGCTGCCAGAGCTCCAGGGATGCCCAGGGTGGGGTTGTTGGGGGGTCTGGGCAGGGCCTGGACTGGACTGGACCCCTGTGGATCCCTTCCAACTTGCGATTGTAATTTTCCTGTAATTCTATCAAGCGCATCTACTTTGCTTTTTTACACCCTGGAGTTAGAAGAAGGTACTTGTGCCCTTGGGGATGGTGGATGCCATGCTCTGTCACTCTGACATGCTCTAACCTGTGCTCTCCCATGCTGTCCCTCAGGTCCTGGCACAGGCGATCAAGGCTGCCAAGGAGCAGCACCCAGACATGTCGGTGACCAAAGTGGTTGTGCACCAGGAGACAGAGATTGCAGAGGAGTAGTTGGGCTGTGTGAGTAGAGACCACCTCAGGTGAGGGCAAAGGGTGATTGATCTCAGTGCACAGGAGATTGGGTAAAGAGGGTCAGAGTTGAAGTAAAATGATCATTGTTCTCTGCCGAGTCCTGCTTAGGCTGTTCCTGATAGATCCGTGGAGGCTGATGAGGCAGTCAGAGACAGCCTAATCCTGTGGAAATGAGCCCAAATGGGTTAAAAGCTACACAGCTCCTGCCATGAGGCTACTTTGCCTTCCCAAATATCCATTATGTGCTGGGAGCACATGGAGCAGCTGTAGGTGCCACATAGACCCCTGCCCATGTCAGTGCCCAGTAACCCCTGAGCTGGACCCCAAGCTTGCCTGGAAATCCTGTTTCCTGCATTTTTTATAAGTTTGGGAAGGAGCTGCTAAAGGAATCCTGGAGCTCTGGCTGTGCCTCAGTGCTTTAAAGGCCATCCTGCCCCATGCCACTGATCATAGAATCCTGGAATGGTTTGGGTTGGATGGGACGGTAAAGTTCATCCAGTCCCACCCCTGCCATGGGCAGGGACACCTTCTACTATCCCAAGATGCTCCAAACCCTGTCCAATCTGACCTTGCACACTTCCAGGGATCCAGCGGCAGCCACAGCTTCTCTGGGCACCCTGTGTCAGGGTCTCACCACCCACCCAGGGAAAAATCCCTTCCCAATATCACATCTAACCCTGCCCTCTGACATTCTTGTCCTGTTGCTCCAGACCCTTGTGCAGAATCACTGTCCTGGGTCCCCTTTAGCCACCTCTCACCTGCTACTGGTGGTAACTCACCTGAATTCAGTTCCCATCCACTTCAGGGAGGCAGATTCCTGTCTTCTCCAGCATGTTGCTGTTGGTAGTGAAATGTACCGTCTTCCTCTCTTGCTAGGAAATGTTCCTGCCTGCTACAACACCAGGAAAACGAAACCCAGCAAAACTACCAAGAAACTACCTGGAGCACAAAGACCTCAGATTTCAGACTTGACACTCAGAGACATTCATATCATTTATTAAGAGTTGTGCTTTGACATTTTACTTGGGATTTTTCCAGAGTCCACTAGATCCTATTGGATATAGGGTTTTGTTTTGTTTTGGTTTGGTTTGGATTTTTTTTATCTATTGCAACAGAGATATGCCATATTTCTAACTTATAAAATATTTCTAATATTTTTTTACAGGTTTTCAGTTTTGCATTCCCTATCACACAAAGCCTCTTCAGACACAGAATCCCATCTCACAGGGCTCCAGGGCTCCCTGTTTTAACTTGTATTCCCTCTGCCTCGTCAGGGATAATGGAGCTGTTCCATGCATATTCCCAGTGCGGGATCCTGTATGCGCCTTCACAAAGCCGTGGGTCCTTCTTCCAGGAGAGTCAGTTTAAAGAGTCAGACTTCATGCAGCGTTTCCCATTGCCTCTAGCTTATTTCTGTAGCTCTGGAGAGCTCCAGCCCTGCTGCAACCCCTGGGCTGCTCTGAGCTCCCTCCCCACTGGGTTCCAGCCCTGACGTGTGATCACAGTATGGTTTTGTGGTGTAGCCTATGCACTCATCTGAATAGTTGACTAGATTTAAGGAATACTGGAAGTTGCTTCAAGTATCTTATACTGTGAATTTTAGAGCTTTAAGAGGACTGTGATAGCATCTTGCCTTCTTCCCGTGTGTCTCTGCTGAGTGCTCCCCGCCCATTTGTGTTTCCTAGGTGCCATTAAATTAAAAAGCCCTTAGAAGTGTGTGTTTAAGGTGTTTGGACTCGGGATGCTATTAAGGTAGGCTTATGCAGCATTCACAGGAACCAAGCTTTTCAATGTCATAGTTTTTCACTTGTTTGTGTTCATGATTTTTAAATTAGGGAGGGGTTTTTGTTTTCTTTTGTAAGTCATGGGTTGGGGTTTTTTCCTTCCCTCACAGTGCTATTTAAAGCTGAACACGTTACCCATTTCCCAGAGCGTGTATCCTATTATCATTTAATTTAAACTCCTTTAGACAATTCTTCCTAGGCCTGCAAGCTGTATTTGGAGAGGCTGAACAAGGAATTTTAGGAGGTGTCAGGTGTTGCTCGTGGTAGAGCCAAACCACATGGGAAGTATTGATGTTCTCTCTTCCACACTGGCCTACGGGTCAGGATTTGGCTTCATGACCCTCTTGCTGGAATGAAATATCAGGGTGATTGTCTGAATCTTGAGGCTGAGCTTACAGACCCCTAGGGCCATCTCCAGCACAGAGGGGGTGATGCAAAAACATGACTTCAGGGGTGGATGTGCTCCCACTACTGCTCTCTAAGCTTCATGGGAATGTTCTTGCCTTCTTGTTTGTCCTTCTACCATTTAAATTCAAGAAGCAAAAAACCAACCAAGCTCTGTAAAGAGTCTGCCCAGACACTTGTGAACACTTTAGTCCACTTGAGGTTGTGATTTTGTTTTTCATGTACAAATACACACACATATATATAGTGTGGCACAGTGGTAGCTGAGGGCAGGGAGTGCTCTGCTCCTCAGGTGAGGATGGGAAAATATGGCAATAAAGATAAAAGCTCTCCAGTTTTAAATTTAAATCATGTATTTCAGAAGTCACTGGATTTAGCTCAGGCTGCAATGAGTTCACTGTTTAGCTGCAATCAGCCCTGGAACTATACTGGGGCTCGTGCAGCTTCTCAGCTTCAGGTGCAATTTTAATTAAGCTGCCAGTATTGATTGGAGACTCTGCTGGAGGTGCTGGATTTTGGTTTTATTTGAGCCTTGCTGGCCCTGGGTCCTGCTCAGCTTCCAGCCTTCCCATGCTGGCAGCTGCCTCTGGGCTGCTCTGGTGCCTGGGATACTCTGCCTCCCTCAGGGCATCACGCTCTGGGGATTTAGGGACTCCTGGGCTGTAGTGCAGAGATTAAGTCTATCCATGTCTGAAAAGCCCTTTCCTTCCTTATTCTGCTACGCAGGCCTTGGAAGAGGTCTGAGTCTCTGCTGTTCTCAGCTTAGTTGGGTAATGCTTGCCTTAAACACCCATCATGCTGAGCACCCTCTGTCACTGTCCTTTTTCTGGGAACTGAGTTCTTTGCCACTTCCTTCTCACTTGCAACAGACACCTGAAGAGTGAAGTGGCCCGTGGAGCAGTGGCTGAGAGGATTTCTGGGCTTTACCAGGCAGAGCCAGCATGATGAGTTTGTCCATAGCACTCAAAGGCTGTCAGGAGAATTTAGTGGACTGTGGTCCGTGGGTGTTCCCTTGGGGTGTCCTGTGCCCTGAGCACAATGAGTGGGACAAAACACTCCAGGGGATTTCTGGGGTGAGAAACCTGCTGGCAGGAGAGGTGGTTCCTTTCCAAAAGGATGTGGTCACTGTTGCTGCAGATATCCCTTGTTAAAGGGCCTGTAGACTAGAAAAACCCTATTTTTATTTTTTCCTTGGATTTTGGGTGGCTATTTCCAGGTTGTCCATTTTTACACTTCCCCCGCTGAGTTGTCGTTTCTCCTGGAGTAATTCAAACAAGTCATGGCCTCATGTGCCCTTTACCATTGCCTGCTGTCTGACCTCAGGGGTTTCCAGCCTCACTCCTGCCAACACGGTGCCCGAGCCCAGGAGCAGGATGGGAGCCTGGGAAGAAGATAAAAGTTAAAAGCAGAAGAAGCTTCTCTCACCCTCAGCCAAGGCCGTGGTGGAGCTGCCCACTCCCACTTCTGGTGGGATTTAAAATCCTTGGCTCTTGAGTGTGCTGTGTCAGCTCTAGGAACAAACCAGCTAAGTAAGGTCTATTTATATGAATCTTCCCAGCTCTTCCCACTCCACAAATTCACCCAGAGACTGTCTTGATTGTATAATATGCATTATATGGAAGCTATTTATATATGAATGAATGTTTTTATAGAAAGGAAGGCAAGGAGCTCTTGTTCTTCTCCATTAAACTGGAATGGCAGCTCTGGTTGCCCAGTAGCAATCCCTGACCAACAGAGATGTGTTAGCAAAGGACTGACTGATTTCTGGTTTTAATACACTGTGGTTTGCTGATTTTCCTAATTGTAACATTACCTTAAGAGGTGGTAGCGTCCCAGCCTTAGAGATAAAACTTGTAACAAACAAACAAAAAAAAAATTATTTAGTTGAGAAGATGAAGGAGCTTTGTAAAAATTTTTTAAGGCAATTGTGAATCGTCTAGGTTAGGCATTTACACTCTTTATAAAAATAGGAACTTTTAAAAGTTGGCAAAACTTTCTAGATCAACTAGTGATGGGAGCTGTTATTTTGGATTTTCATAGTGAATCAGAGGGAAAGTTGCCATAGTGTTTAGGCAGACCTAAATGTTCAGTATTGCTTCTTGTATTGCATTTTTCAATAAATCTTCAAACAAAACTCTCTCCCTGGCACTGAATTCTCTTCCTCCTTCTCACCTTCCTCCATGTCTCTCTCCTTAGCCTGGCTTTGTGGTGACTTGGTTTTACTAGCCTAAACCAAAGTCCCCAAATGTAGCTACGATGGTGCCAAAGCTCTTCCAGCCCTGGGCCAGCATTTCCCTGCACTCTTGGTGCCTTCAGGCTCTTTAAAACAGTTCCCATTGTGGTCACATGTGGGACCAAAGCCCCCAGAAGGGCCAGAAGCAATTCCTAGAGTTCCAGTTTGCCCCAAAGAAGCATCACTTGATATAAAACCTTCCTTTGAGCTGTAGAATTTGTGGTGAGCCCAGGTGAGGTCTGTGCTCAGCAGCTGCTGCCCAACTCTTAACTAAGTGTGACTCAACTGGAGTGGGGGGAAATGTCAAATCCATCGATATTTTGGTCCTATTTTTTTTCTGGCTGCAGCAGCTTTAGGGGGGACAGAAATAAGGCATAAAAAGCTGACAGGGCATCTTGGCTACAGGCCTGACACCGAACAAGAGCCAGATGGCCCAGTTAGGGCAGCTGGAGACTGGAAATTGGCTGGGAAGAGCTTCCCTGGGGGCAGGGGCAGCCCAGGGTTTGGTGTGGTACCTCCCTGTGCCTCAGTTTCCCTAAGAGGCAGAAAGAGAAAGGTGGCATGTGACATGTGAATTCCCATTGCTTCAGAAACAGCCATCACCGCTTCCATCCTGACCCTGGGCAGTTTGCTTCCAAGTACTAAATCTCAGTGTCCTGTAAAGCCAAAATTACCAAGGAGCTTCAGAACCTGACCCTGGAGAGTTGGGAAGCTGCCACCACTGGAGCTGCTTTCCCATAAGTGTCACAGCAACATCACTCACTCCGCTCTGCGGCAGAGCCAGGTCCTGTTATCTCAGGCTTCTGCCCCCAGCCTGCCAGGGTCATGCTGCAAACAGCCCTGTTCCAGAAAGCTGGGCCTTGGGGAAGTCCCAGCACCTTAAGACAATGCACTGGTGTGAGGGGTCATGGCTGGGTACAAACCACAGCCCCCAAAACATCACGTCTGTGGACAACCAGCCAAAAAATGGCTTAGTTCCTTTGCTTTGCTGCACTTGGGATGTCGGACCCCTGCTCAATGGCCAAGATGTCATCACCTGCTCACACTTTTGGCACTATTGAGCATCACCTGATCACCTGGGGAGCAGCTCCAAGCTCTGAGAAGCTCCTGTGGGTCCCAATCTGTCCCACAGCTATCAGCTCCAACAACAACAATATGGGATTGTGCTGGACTGCAGCAGTGTGTTCTGGCAGAAACACCATCATCAGCCTTGGGACTCCCACAGGGAGGGGACATAGGGCTGATGGTTCCCAAGGGGCTTCTGGCACATCCCTGTCCTGGACACTGCAGGGATGTCAGTGGCACCAGGGATATGGTCCCACATTGCCCATCCATGGTGCTTTGGCGAAGGAGTGTTGCCATTGCTAGTGAAGGGACACCCCAGCACAGGTGACGCTGGAACCCCATCCAAAGTGCCCAGGGGAGAAGTGTCCTCACCTTATTTCCCCAGGGCACAAGCACAGAGACAGCAAACACCCACCTCAATGCTTAGCAGTCTGGGGCTGTCCCAGGAGACTGGAAAGGCTTTTCCTTAAAGCTCCCCAAAGCCCTTCTGGGTCAATGTCGCAAGCCCAGGGTGCCTTTATCCGCCTCACAGCCAGAGCAGGAGGGAGTATGTTAATGTTGCCTGTGGCATTTTGCCTGGCTACCAGCTAGGGAAAATGTTAGGCAAACAAATACCATGGCAATCCAGATGCAAATAAATAAAATCCAACCCCTTGTCCCAGCTGCGCAGGAAGCAGCAGCTCCTGGCAGGCCTGCTCCTGGGTGGCCCCACACCTACCCCGGGCCCCAGATTCCACACCAAAGGCAATGACTGTCTTGGAGGTCCCATCCTGTGGGAAGAAGCCACAAAAGTTGCTTTCCTTCATCACCCATCCCTGGTCCTTCTTCATGTCTCCATCTCAGAACTCAACCTGGAGAAGCAGCTGTCACATCAGGACAAGTTCCCATTAAGTCACCAGCTTATTCCAGCCCAGGCTATTTTTAGGCTGTTCTCCTGGTTTTGGGGCTCAGCAGCCAGTTGTGTTCCTGGAGTATCAGGTCTGCTCTAAGGGCTCCAGGGGGGATTGCTGTGGGAGCCAGGCAGCAGTGGGGTGACTCCATCCCTTCCATCTGGGAGAAACAAGGGTCTGAGATAAACAGGATTGAAAGGGGAGGAATTATGTTGGCAATGGGCCAGGTTGGACACATTGAGCTCAGCTCTGAATTCCATCACTGGGGAAACTGAGGCACAAAAGAATAGCAAAAACCAGGTGGGGAATCACCTCAGGTCCTGCAGCAGCTGGGTCAATGACCTTAGATTCATCCCTGCTCCATCCCCAACCATCCTGGGAAGCACCAGTGCAGACTGCTGCAGATTCATGGGCATCTTTTGGTTTTTTTGCCCCCAGCATGGGCAGTGGTCCCTGCCTGGCTCCAAGCCAAAGCCCCAGAGATTTGGGCTCCAGCCCCATGCCAGCACTCAGCTGTCAGGACACATCACGTGGATGCTGAATACTGAGGGAACTCTGGCTTTTGACCCAGGACCAGCCCCAGGGCAATCCATCCCACATTGCTCAGCACATTTCTACAGTAGGATTAACGTGCAGAGCCTTGGGTGCCAGAGAACCTATACAGGATGCTCCCAAACCCACAGAAAAAAAAAAAAATTAAAAATAATTAAGCAACTACTCCCAACCCCACCCCAGCTCCAGCCCTGTTCCAGCTCCCCTGGGTACTAGGATGGGTGCCTTTGGCTCAGTGCCTGCTCATTAATTAAGAGAGGCATTTTGTATCACACTCCTGCCCTTTTTTAAAATAAAGCAACAGTAATCAGCCCCCTGCCAAAAGGGCCAGGTTGTTACAGACCCGGAGAGTGCAACTGCACCCATCACAGCAGTCCTCTTTAGCCATGGAGGGCAAAAGCCACACTCACCCAGCACAGGTCACGCTGTCCCCTACACGTCACCTTCCTGACACCTCGGCAGGGGATTATGTACTGCAAATGCACACTGGGAGCAGAGCCCTCACCTTCCCACAGACCTTAAATCTTAAGGAAGGGCACTCCAGCCAAGCAGATTCATGTTTGTGATCTGCCCCACTGCGGGGAGAGGAGGAAGAGGTGGAGGAAGAAGAGGAGAAAGAGCTGTAAACCAGCCAAGGGCTGAGCAGTATCAGGGAGTGATTGTCCCCAGCTGTGGTTGTTGTGCTCCCTAGGGACAGAGGTGTCCCATCAGCAGATCTGGAGACCAACTGGCACTACTGGGCTGTCCCTGGGCATGAGAGACCCTCTGACAGCCACTGGCAGAGACTGCACCTCCCCGGGGCATATCTCCCACACACAGCCTGTGGTAGTGGTTCCCTCAATACATTTTCCCATTTTTGGCCCAAACTAAGCTGTCCTGTAGCCATGCACCCACCAGCTGAGAGGGCTCTTGGTGGTGGGGAATAACTGCAATTGTCTTTGGTCTCTCCAGCCTCTATCCTCTAGTCCAAGGGACCCCTGGGGTCAGCCATTGTCAGCCTGGACATGTTAGTGCTGGGGACAAACCCCCAATTTTCTTTGCTGATGTGTATGATGAAAACCCCTTCAGTTGGTAGGACTCTCCTCCTGCAGTGACCACCTCCCAGGATGGAATACCATGGGGGTGACGAGAGCTGGATATTTAGTCCATAGTGTATCTAGCCTGCTCCTGAGAAGGACAGGAGGTACTAACAAGCAGTGCCCTTCACAGGCTGTGCAGTGTGACATCTCCAGGGCTTCCAGGATTGTTGCACTTCACAGCTCTGCAGCCAAGCAGTCAACGTAAGGATCCATCAAGGGTGTACATTTTTACTCTTTTAATTTCTGTTTCTAACCCAGCCTCACCCTGCCCAGTTCATTCCCAAAACACTGTGAGGACAGCATACATGGCATTCATCCACTGAAACCAGCACTGCTAATATGCCACAAATACTCTGGGAACAGTGTCCATAGACGGAGCTGAAGGTGAGGGATACACAGATGCTGCTCTTCCCTGGAGAAGGCACAGGGCTTCTCACCCTGCCAGATTAATTAATCAAGCTGCTTTGCATTTTGAAATGATCCCTGTGTGACTCAGAAATGCCTCTCCTGGATGATGCTGCTGAGCTGGGAAGGAAGATGGGGCAGCAGGAAGATGCGGCAGGAGGATGATGCTGGTGCAGGCACATGGTCCAGCAGGTTGCCCTGTGATCCAGCCATTTCCCACAGTTAGACTGAGCCTCAGCCAGAAAATGAAGGGGAAAAATTAAAAAAACAAACACCCCCAGTAGCTTCTCGTGCAGCTCCTTGTGGCATTTCAGGCTTGTTTCTTGCTGCCAGTTCCCAAAGCATGGCCCAGGGCCCAGTATTAGCTCTGGCTGCAGATGGTTAAGCCCAAGTAAAAAGTTATTTTTGGACAAAAACAACCTTCTGGCACTTCCCCTGGGATGCTGCTCCAGGGCAGACCCCAATGGTGACTTTTTCTTGTTGTTTATTGCATTGAATCAGTGCCTAAATAACGTTAAGATTAAGCAGCCAAATAAATAGCTGAGCTTGGGCTGGTATCACTCCCAGAGAATCCTTTGGGATGCAAGTGGGCCCAAACCGCAGCTGTCTGTCCCATCTCTGGCCCCTGCACGAGGGAAGCTGCACCCAAGCTCTCTGGGAGGGCTGGCATTGGAAACAGACAGCTTTTCCCTGTAAAGCAGAACACCCCCCATCAAAACACTGTGGGGAGTGCTTTGGGAGAAGCTTTTTGGGAGAAGATGGGCCTGGGGAAGAAAAGGCAATTTCCTAATGATTTTACTGGGATGTTTTGATCTGGAGAAGGATGTTGTTCCCAAAGTTTGCAAGGTCTGACACTCTGTGTTCACTTCAGACCAGAGAGGGAGAAGAGACAGGAATAACCTCCCTCTGC